TGGGGACACTGGGATGGGATGGGGACACTGGGATGGGAAGGGGACACTGGGATGGGAGAGGGACACTGGGATGGGAAGGGGACACCGGGGAGGGAAGGGGACACTGGGATGGGACGGGGACATGAGGTTGGGTTGGAGCCATCAGGGCCCGGAGCGCTACGACGAGTGTCTCATCGGGCTCCTGGCGGGGCTCCAGGAGAAACCTGACCAGAAGGATGGGTAGGAGGGGGATACTGGGGTGGGAGAGGGACATTGGGGTGGGAGAGGGACACTGGGATGGGATGGGATGGGATGGAGCTCCTAGGGATGGGATGGGGAGACTGGGATGGGATGGGATGGGGAGGGTGGGGACGGGGGGGGGGGAGGGGGACACTGGGATGGGATGGGACCACCAGGGCTGGGATGAGGCCACCAGGGACGGGATGGGGCCACCAGGGTTAGGTTGGTGCCACTGGGGCCACTGGTCCCAGGATGGTGCCACCAGAGCTGGGATGGTGCCACTGGGGCCACCGGTCCCAGGATGGTACCCCCAGCCCCTCCCCAGGCTCTGCAGCACCATCTCCCCCCCAGCTGCCCCCAGGGTGTGTTCCCCCCGTGTCCCCAACCCCAGGTGACCCCCTTGTCCCCCCCCTGCCCCAGGATCTTCACCAAGGTGGTGCTGGAGGCCCCTCTGATCACCGAGAGCGCCCTCGAGGTCATCCGCAAGTACTGCGAGGACGAGGTGGGCACCTGGGGCTGGGGGAGACCCCCGGGGTTGGGGGAGACCCCCAGGGTTGGGGGGAGACCCCCGGGGTTGTGGGGAGACCCCCGGGGTTTGGGGAGACCCCTGGGGTTGTGGGGAGACCCCTGGGGTTGGGGGAGACCCCCGGGGTTGTGGGGAGACCCTCGGGGTTGGGGGAGACCCCCGGGGTTGGGGGGAGACCCCCGGGGTTTGGGGAGACTCCCGGGGTTGTGGGGAGACCCCCAGGGTTGTGGGGAGACCCCCGGGGTTTGGGGAGACCCCCGGGGTCGTGGGGACAGGGTTGGGGACGGTCCCGTGCCCGCTGTGCCCCCGCAGAGCCGAACCTACCTGGGCATGTCCACGCTGAGGGATCTGATCTTCAAGCGCCCGTCGCGGCAGTTCCAGTACCTGCACGTGCTGCTCGACCTCAGCTCCCACGAGAAGGACAAGGTGACACCCTGGGGTGGCACCAGGGGGTGGCACTGGGGGTGGCCCCGTCCCACCCATCCTTCTGGTGGGGTTTGTCCTGCATCGGGAGCTCCAGCCCATCCCGGTGTCCCCGTCCCATCCCAGTGTCCCCATCCCATCCCAGTGTCCCCCTCCCATCCCAGTGTCCCCCTCCCATCCCATCCCCTCCCATCCCAGTGTCCCTCTCCCATCCCAGTGTCCCCCTCCCACCCCAGGGGTGTCCCTGCAGTGTCCCCATCCCTGTGACACCCCCATGTCCCCCCCTGCCCAGGTGAGGCAGCAGCCCCTGCTCTTCACCAAACACCTGTATGAGCAGGACAAGGTGGCACACCAGGGGTGTCCCCACAGTGTCACCATCCCTGTGACACCCCAGGGGTGTCCCCACAGTGTCCCCATCCCAGTGGCCCCCCAGGGGTGTCCCCACAGTGTCCCCATCCCCATGACACCCCTTGTGTCCCCCCCCTGCCCAGGTGAGGCAGCAGCCCCTGCTCTTCATCAAACACCTGTACGAGCAGGACAAGGTGGCCCCCCAGGGGTGTCCCCATGGTGTCACCATCCCAGTGTCCCTCTCCCATCCCAGTGTCCCCCTCCCACCCCAGTTTCCCCCTCCCACCCCAGTGTCCCTCTCCCATCTCCAGTGTCCCCCTCCCATCCCCAGGAGCTCCATCCCATCCCATCCCAGTGTCCCTCTCCCACCCCAGTGTCCCCCTCCCACCTTGGTGTCCCCCGGGGGTGTCCCTGTGGTGTCCCCATCCCCGTGACACCCCCATGTCCCCCCTGCCCAGGTGAGGCAGCAGGCCCTGCTCTTCACCAAACACCTGTATGAGCAGGACAAGGTGGCACACCAGGGGTGTCCCCATGGTGTCACCATCCCAGTGGCCCCCCAGGGGTGTCCCCACAGTGTCCCCATCCCAATGTCCCCCTCCCATCCCAGTGTCCCCCTCCCACTCCAATGTCCCCCTTCCCATCCCAATGTCCCTCTCCCATCTCAGTGTCCCTCTCCCATCCCAATGTCCCCCTCCCATCCCAGTGTCCCCCTCCCATCCCCAGGAGCTCCATCCCATCCCACCCCAGTGTCCCCGTCCCATCCCAGTGTCCCCCTCCCACCCCAGTGTCCCACTCCCATCCCCAGGAGCTCCTCCGCATCCCATCCCATCCCAGTGTCCCCCCCCCCCCCCCCCTCTCCCCACCCACCCCCGTGTCCCCCTTCCCATCCCAATGTCCCCCTCCCATCCCAGTGTCCCCTTCCCACCCCAGTGTCCCCTTCCCATCCCAATGTCCTCCTCCCATCCCCAGTGTCCCCCTCCCACCCCAGGGGTGTCCCTGCAGTGTCCCCATCCCTGTGACACCCCCATGCCCCCCCCAGTGAGGCAGCAGCCCCTGCTCTTCACCAAACACCTGTACAAGGGGGACAAGGTGGCACCCAGGGGTGTCCCTATGGTGTCCCCATCCCAGTGGCCCCCCAGGGGTGTCCCCGCAGTGTCCCCATCCCAGTGGCACCCCAGGGGTGTCCCCATGTTGTCCCCATGCCCGTGACCCCCCCTGCCCAGGTGAGGCAGCAGGCCCTGCTCTTCATCAAGCGCATGTACGAGGGGGACAAGGTGGCCCCCCAGGGGTGTCCCCACAGTGTCCCCATCCCAGTGTCCCCCTCCCATCCTGGTGTCTCTCAACCATCCCAGTGTCCCTCTCCCATCCCAGTGTCCCCCTCCCATCCCCAGGAGCTCCATCCCATCCCATCCCATCCCCTCCCACCCCAGTGTCCCCCTCCCATCCCAGTGTCCCTCTCCCATCCCCAGGAGCTCCATCCCATCCCATCCCATCCCATCTCATCCCATCCCATCCCAGTGTCCCCCTCCCACTCCAGTGTCCCTGTCCTGCCCGTCCTTCTGGTCGGGTTTCTCCTGGACAACCCCCAAGATCTCCAGCCCATCCTGGTGTCCCCCTCCCACCCCAGGGGTGTCCCTGCAGTGTCCCCATCCCCGTGACCCCCCCCGTGTCCCCCCCTGGCCAGGTGAGGCAGCAGGCCCTGCTCTTCATCAAGCGCATGTACGAGAAGGAGCCGCTGCGCGAGTACGTCGAGAAGTTCGCCCTCAACTACCTGCAGCTCCTGGTGCACCCCAACCCCCCCTCGGTGCTCTTCGGGGCTGACAAGGACACAGGTGACACTGGGGACACCCAGGGGGGGTGGGATGTACCTGGGGGAGGTGTCCCTGGGGTTGGGGACACTGGGGGGGGACATTCATGGGGTGGGAGATCCGCCCTCAACTCCCTGAAGCTCCTGGTGCACCCCAACCCCCCCTTGGTCCCCTCTATGTCCCCTCTGTCCCCTCGGTGCTCTT